ACAGAAATAGAAAAAATAAAATAAAATAAAAGGCCAGAGACAAAAGATAGACAGGATAATTTAAGTTAAGAAAAGCTGGCTAGAAATAAGCCAAGCTAAGGTTGGGCATTTGTAAGTAAGAATAAGACTGTGTGATTATTTGGGAGCTCGGTCCCTGAAAGAGCAAAGAGTGAAAAAAAAAACAAAAACCAACAACATTTTGGCATACCAATGTGAGGCTTGAATATCCCTAGGGCCTAAGAAAGCTGAAAAAAATGCAAAAAAGCTAAAAACAAATTTTTAAAAACTGGGTATGGCTCCTTTAAGAAACTCTGCATTACAGCAGAGCACTTAAACAGCCTTTTTCACACTAAATAGAAACAAAATCTAGGTAAAAAACCAAAACCAAAACAAAACAAAAACACACCTGCTACAGTGCAGGGCACTGGCATTCCAGAGTTGGGGGGGGGGGGTTGAATGCAGTTCCTAGTCAAACATACCTCCAACCAGGCTGCGATCTTTAGGCTTGACTTTCACTAGTGGAGAAGCAGACAGAGACAGCCACCAAAGCTGTGCACAGAGGTCCTGGCCATGTTGCCTAGCAATTTTTGCTCCTGCAGACAAAAAAAAAAAAAAAAAGAAAAAAAAAAAGACTAGAGATATGCAGTAAAGACAGATCCAGATGGAAAAAATCCTCCAAATGGATTCCAGTGTGTTTTACAATGTGCTAGGCTTAAGAAAGAAAGAAAAAAGAGTATAGACAGTCACAGAAAAAAATAGTTTAAAAGTAATAAAATCTTTAAAGAGAGAAATATAATAGAAAAATTTCATGAAGAGATGGGAAGTACACAGGGAGTCTGGATCCTATATGTTTTTGTATTGATTTTGAATTTTTTGATTGCTGATAAGCAAAGGACAGCTGCTAAGAGACCTGGAACTGAAAGAGGGACTATTGAAATAAGCCAGCCTATATACTTTGGGAGTGCCTAAACTTTAAAATGGAAGAAAAAATGCATTGCTTTCGAGAAAAGGTTTTACTTTTATTTCCACAGGAGAAGAGAGACTGTGGATTCCTTCAGGATTGATACAGATCAGGTTTGATTGGGGAAGACCTCCTAAATCTTGACAAGTGATATATATATATCAACAAAGGTTACAGCTGGTCTTCCCAGGACTTGGTCATTATCTCAGTTTTATTAGGGACCCCCAGAAATACCTTCACCCACAGACAACAGGAAGCAGTCTGGAGAACATCACACCCACATTGCCAAGAGATGGGGTGGGTGGTCTTTGGTTATTTGGTGGGTTGTGGATGTTTGTTGTCATTTAGGGGAATGTAAGAATATAAGATAAAAAAGACAACTATTAATCTCAGATATTTTGCATTGGCATGGATTTTGGTATATTGATACAAATTTAAAGCTATTTTTGTTACGCTGTTTCTACTCTTGTTTGGGGGTATTGTGTTTATGCAGTTCATTTAAAAATGTACTGTATAATTAAGAAATGAGGTTAGTAATTAATCTGATAAACTTGTAGTCACATTAGGTATGTTTTCAAGGTTAAACAGGTATATTTTAGACAGATGGTTTTCAAACACTCCAAAGACCTACAGAATATGGCATTTAAGGTGTTTAAAAACCTAAGGTTTTTCATGGCAGTGAGACACAGCTGTTCCTGGCAGCACCAATTTACTTCATAAAAGGATGATAGAGTTGAAGAAACTCCATATGGCAAGGACACAGGAAAAAGACTGTTGAACTTTGCCAAGACAAGGCAGGACAGTCCTTCAAGATTCCTGCTTCACTGAAAAGTCTGTCAGATAGTCTATCTAGGCCTTTAGGCTGAAGATGGATGCCCCAATGTTGCAGAGGAACTTTGAGTGACTGTCCAGGCAGCCAGATGTCTCTGTTGTTAGGTAATACTATATCCTTCTGTGGTCTCTGATGGAGTTAAAGGCTAAATAATTGGAGTTATAGTTTTCCTTAGTTATAATGAAAAGTAAACTGGGTATAAAACTCAAAATCACCAAGATAAGATAGATAATAGAGTTTTTCCTCTAAATTTGCTCAGTATAAATAGACTGAATATTGTAAATGTATTTCTTACTTGGTTACTGTTTTTGTTGTATAGAGTTTTACTATGTTAAAGTTAAAACCTTTCATTTTTACTTAGACAAAAAGGGGGAAATTTTGTGGAATTAAATTAGTTGAAGATGTGTTACATTTGCTTATGCTGTGGAATATTTGTTTACTGATGCAAAGATGTGTTGCAGTCTTTTATGTTGCATGTGTTTAACTCAGGGAAGCTGTGTTACTTTGCCTATCTAAAACACCTGATTGGTCTAAAAAAGAGATGAATGGTCAATAGCTAGGCAGGAGAAAGGATGGGTGGGGCTGCCAGGCAGAGAAAATAAATAGGAGGAGAAATCTGGGGTGAAGGATCTAGAAGCATGAAAAGGAGGAGAGGAAGACATCAGGGGCCAGCCATCCAGCCACCCAGCCACCCAGCCACCCAGCAACCCAGCCACCCAGCCACCCAGCCACCCAGCTACACAGCAAGCCATAGGGTAAGAAGTAAAGAAAGGTATGTAGAACAGAGAAAGATAAAAGCTCAGAGTCAAAAGGTAGATGGGATAATTTAAGAAAAGTTGGCAAGAAACAAGCCAACCTAAGGCCAGGCATTCATAAATGAGAATAAGACTTTTTGTAATTATTTGGGAGATAGGTGGTGGGCCCATCAAAGAGTAAAGAGTTAAGAACAACAACAACAACAACAAAAATTCCATTGGGAAACTCCTACACCTGATAACAATTTCAGCAAAGTAACTGGATATATAATTAATTCACAAAATCATTAGCTTCCTATATGCAAACGACAAACAGACTGAGAAAGAAACTCAGGAAATAACACCCTTCACAATAGCTCTAAAAAATTAAAAAATATCTTGGGTTAACTCCAATTAAGGAAATGAAATATTTGTGTAATTAAAAACTTTAAGATATTGAAGAAATAAATTGGAGAAGATATCAAAAGATGGGAAGATCTCCCATGCTCATGGTTCAGTAGAATTAGTTAGTAAAAACAGCTATCCTGCCAAAAACAGTCTACAGATTCAAAGCAATCCCCATCAAAATTCCAACACAATTCTTCACAAATCTTGAAAAGACAGATTTCAGCTTCATATGGAAACAAACAAAAATTCAGGACAACTAAAATAATTCTGAATAATAAAAGAACTATTGTAGGGATCACCATCCCTGACCTCAAATTGTACTACAGAGTTATAGTAATGAAGACCACATAGCATTAGTATAAAAACAGACACATCAATCAACTCAATCCAATTGAGACCCAGACACAAATTCACACACCTATAGACACCTGACTTTTTTATGACGAAGCCAGAAATACACATTGGAAAAAAGACATTATCTTCAACAAATGGTGCTTATGAAACTGGACATCTGCTAGTAGAAGAATCCAAACAGATTCATATCTCCCTGCACAAAACTTAACTCCAAATGGATCAAGACATCAATATAAAATCAGATACACTGAACCTGATAGAAGAGAAATTGGGGAACAGTCTTGAACTCATTGGCACAGAAAAGACTTTCTCAACAGAACACCATTAGTACAGGAACTCAGATCAATAATCAATAAATGGACCCTCATGAAACTGAGAAGCTTCTTCATGACAAAGGACACTGTCATTTGGACAAAGTGGCAGCCTACAGAATGGGAAAATATTTTTTAACAACTCCTAATCTGATAGAGAGCTAATCTCCAAAATAAATAAAGAACTAAAAAACCTGGATATCAAGAAAACAAATAACCCAATTAAAAACTGAGGTACAGATTTAAATAGAGAATTCTCAAAAGATGAAATTCAAATGCCTGAGAAGCACTTTAAGAAATGTTCATTATCAACATCCTTAGTCATCAGGGAAATGCAAATCAAAACTACTTTGAGAGTCCATCTTACACCTGTCAGATGGCCAAGATCAATAAAATAAATGGCAGCTCATGCTGGCAAGTATGTAGAGTAAGGGGAACACTCCTCCATTACTGGGGGAGTGCAAACTTGTACAGCCACTATGGAAATCAGATGGTCTACCTCAAGATCTAGCTATACCACTCTTGGGCATATACCTAAGGGATGCTTCATCCTACCACAAGAACACTTGCTCAACCATGTTCATTGCTGTTCTATTCATAATAGCCAGAAATTGAAAACCTAAATGTCTGACATCAGAAAGATGAATAAAGAAAATTTAGTACATTTATACAATGGAATATTACTCTTTCATTTAAAAAATGAAATGAAATTTGCAGATAAATGGACGGAACTAGAAAAAAAATCATCCTGAGTGATGTAACTCAGACCCTGAAAGACAAATATGGTATGTATTTGATAATATGTGGATGTTAGCTGTAAGGTAAGCAGTCTACAATGCATAAAATCACAGAGATTAGGTATAGAGTAAGGGACTAGGGAAAAGGGACAAATCTCTTGAAGAAGGATAAGGGAGGGGACTGGAACATAAAGGTCAAACAGGGAGGGGGAAGGGAGGAGAGAGTGAGGGAGGAGATATGGGGAGGGACAGCTAAATTTAAGGGTCATTTGAGGGAGTGTATAGAAACCTAATACAGGAGAAACTTCCTAGATTATATACATATATGAAAGTGATCTAAGTGAAATCACCAAATAATGGGAGATGTAGCCTCAACTGGGCATCTCTCATCACCAAATGAAGCTTCAGCACCAAGAATGGCTTACATCTAGTTGAGTTGCAATAAAATGTAGCAATAAAATGACTCCCGGTGACAGTCTGCTACACTCATAGATCAGTGCCTTGCTCAGCCATCATCAGAGGAGCTTCCTCCTGCAGCAGATGGGAACAAACACAGAGACCCACAGCCAGACAAAACACAGAAGTGAGACCTTGGAACACTCAGCCTAAATGGGATGTCTTCATCAAATTCCTCCCCTCAGGGCTCGGGGAACCCTGTGGAAGAGGATGTAGAAAGAGACTAAGAGTCACAGGGGATGGAAGACACCAAGGAAAAAAGGCTTTCTAAACACAGCAGGACTGTCACATATATGAACTCACAGAGACAGAGGCAGCATGCACAGGGCCTGCACAGGTCTGCACCAGATGGTGCCCTACAGCTGAAAGAAGTAGACACATGCCCTCATCACTAACCCAGAACCACTGGCTGTAGCTAGAGTTTTCCTGCCTTGCCCAGAGTCAGGACAAATCTCTGTCACCTGCCAGTCCCACAGCCGCTCAGACCCAACCAAGTAAACACAGAGACTTATATTGCTTACAAACTGTATGGCTGTGGCAGGCTTTTTGCTTACTGTTCTTATAACTTAAATTAATCCATTTCCATAAATCTATACCTTGCCACTTGGCTCGTGGTTTGCCAGCATCTTCACATGCTGCTTGTCATGGTGGCGGCTGGCAGTGACTCCTTCTGCCTTCCTGTTCTTTCTTTTCTCCTCTCTGTTAGTCCCGCCTATACTTCCTGCCTAGCCACTGGCCAATCAGTGTTTTATTTATTGACCAATCAGAGTAATTTGACATACAAACCATGCCACAGCAACTGGCAAATGAAAAATTAGTTTTCTCCAAGGAAGTCCCACTGGGGAAACAAACTACTCTTCAGTGTAGGCTGCATGCCCAGCATGTGGCCAACAGAAAATGAACACAATAACATCTTTGGAGGTTCCTTGTCTCATAATGTCATGTCAGAAATTTAAAATTTTTATATTATTATTATTATTATTATTATTATTATTATTATTATTATTATTATTATTACTATTATTATTTTTAACCCTACAGGCTTATGGCTTCCAGTTTTGTGTTTTTATGAGATTCCTGAATATGTGAATGAGTGGGTCTCTGTGTCTATAGGTTTCTGTGCCTTTTCTTGGGCTCTTTTCCTTCTGTTCGTTTGTTTCACCCTACAGTGGTTTATTTGTTTTTATTATCTTATTTTAATTATTATCTCTCAGAAGCCTATTTGTTTTCTAATGAGAGACAGAAGGGGGTGTGGGGGAGGGGAGGGTCTGGGTGGAGTAGAGTGAGGAGAAACTATAACCAGAATATATTGTGTGAAAAAGTATTTTCAATGAAAGGAAAAAAATCAAAGGAACAAATACATTTTGAGATCTTTTAACACGGTTAGTATAAAATTTTTAAAAGTGGATAAGCAAAGATCCATCCATACCGACCTGTTTGTTTTGAGGAGATTGGGACAGAAATTAGCCTGTGTGATCCAGAGCTGTTAGGCTTACAGGCAGATCGCCTACCTTTTTAACATCCCCAGCATGGGAATTTCCAAGTATGAAGTTTCAGGTGAACACTATATAGACAAGATGGGGTTTTTCGTCTGCATATTTTCCATTTTTAGGGGCAAAAACAGAAGCCCTAAGCCCTAGTGTTTAGGGCTGGTGTTTTTTATTTACATGAAACTAAATATCTGTTTATTAAAAATATTTGAGATATTTCAACCTCTTTCTAATGTTACCTGTGTACAAACTATTTCACACAGCCTGACGAATTTAGAGTAGGCATGAGTACTAGACATGTTTTATTAAACAATAAATAAAAATCAGTTTGACTTGGGGATAGCTCATAGTTTTGAGTTCCTTTTGTTTTTATGTCATGGGAAGCAGGCAGTGAAATGTGAAGAGAAAACACATTCTCCTCCACAGTGAACTAGATCAGAAAAGGGGAAACATCACCTGGCTTGAGACAATGGCTGATTGTTAAAGCAGGATCTCTTCACAACATGGAAATTATTTGGGGGCAGTAAACAACAGGTTGTCACGCTGTTAACTGCGGCTAAGGACACAAAGCAGTATAATCATTTGATGGCTTTCTTGTGTTTTGGAATATGACAGCCTTTTTTACATCCCAATAAATATGAAATTACCTAGGGGGAAACGTCCCAGAAAAAAAAGCAGATGAAGAGGTTGAAAGAAGGTCAAGGCTGCACCATCAGGAGGTGAGAAGGGAAGAGAGAGCATTTAGGTGGACAGAGTGTCAGTCAATGGGAGAGGCTGGCTGCTTCTGCCACTAACAGCTTTGTTGGATTTCATGGTCAGATTCTGAAATAAATCTTTCTGAGAATGCCTGCTCTTCAGATAGACGGGAAGTTGCCACCCCGAAACATATGACTGCAGGAGATTACAATATGCTGCTCCAAAATAAGCCTCTTTTGCGTAAAGAATATTTCGAGCTAATTATTCTGGGAAACAGCAATCACAACGGATGTTCTTAAAAGAGAAGTTATCTCTGTGTAAGAGAAAATCACATTTAAAAAGGAAATATCCATGTATAAGACAGTCTCTCTGTCTGCAGCCAGGAGAAAGAATGAGTAAAATAACCAGCCGGAAACTCTTAGCAACTGAAGCCCAACAAGATTTACTACGTTTCTTGGACTGCTCCCCATAACCAAGCCCTCACCATAACCAGCCTTCTTGGAATTTAAACTCTCTGTTTGAGATTTATTCATTTTCCCTGGTACCTCCCTTGTACACAAGAGGTATACGTATTAGTGTGTTTGTGGTAGTATAACAAAATGCTCGGGAAAAGGCAATTAATAAAGAATAGAAATGTATTTCATACAGTTATGGAAGCTGAGAAGTCTAATATCAACATGCTGGCACTGTATGGTGAGGCCGCTCTCTGCATCCAAGATGGTGCCTTTATTCTGGAGGGGAGGACCACTGCATGGTTGAACGGTCAGGAAAGGGCTCCCCATCACCCAGGAGCCCTTTAGTCAAGATGCTAATCCCACTTATAAGGACTCAACTCTCATAATTTAATCATCGCCCAAGTCCATCCTTGGATAGTTTTGTCACATGCGTTTTGTTTCAACATGAACTAAAGCTGTTTCAATCCAAATCTGAGAAGGAACACTGCCATTAGTAGCATAATGCCATTTCATGAAACTTCAACTTGCTTTTCATTTGTTAATTTATCTTTCTTCACAGGGGTCTGCCCCACCTAGGAAAGCATATTTTTCCTTTCCCTGTTTTAATTTACATTGTACAAAAGGTGTTCCTGAAGGCTGTCAGGTGCTGCTAGGGAACTTAGCAAGTTATGCTTTGAACACACAAACTTATCATTGATTTACAAGTTAAACATTTTACATCCTGCAGACTAAAGTTCAATTCCTTAATAGCCTGCTGAGTTTTAATATTACAAACATTTACAAAGGGAATCTAGTTTAACGTGAGGAGAAAGTATTTTTAGTTTGGTTCTCTGGCATATGTATGATTCAGACAGTTGATACTCTGTGTGATAAGGTCATTTATTTAGAAAAGTTACATCTTAGCCAGATGGTGATGGCACACACCTTTAATCCCAGTACTTGGGAGGCAGAGGCAGGCAAATCTCTGTGAGTTTGGGGCCAGCCTGGTCTACAAACTGAGTTCCGGGACAACCAGGACTGTTATACAGAGAAACCCTGTCTCAAAAAACAAAATGAAACAAAAAAAAAAAAAAGAAAGAAAGAAAAGTTACATCTTAGTAATACCTAATGAATGAAATATCAGGGAAAAACAAATGAAATAGAGGAGTTGATCTTTTCTGTAGGTAAGTTCAGCTCTTTGAATATTAACCCCTATACTTGGAGTGTGTTTAGAGTTAATTACATTAAAATTTTACATTTACACATGTATATATAGGCAACTCATAAATTTTATCAGTGTAAAAATTTAAAAGCATAATTAATAGAAGAGATTGTAATGACCTCTCACAATAGTACCTTAGCTTGAGAATCACTGCTATTTGTGTGTGTGTGTGTGTGGCATTGCCCACTTGTCTAATATATGTATTATTATTTTTTTTGTTTTGTTTTTCAGGACAGGGTTTCTCCGTATAGTGTAGTTGTATATTAATTAAAAATACTTGGCCATTAGCTCAGGCCTACCACTGACTAGCTCTTACATTTAAACTAACCCATAATTCTTATTTATGTTTAGCCATGTGGCTTGGTACTTTTCTCAGTTCTGCCTTCACATCTTGCTTCCTCTGTGTCTGGCTGGCGACTCCTGATTCAGCCTTTCTGTTCCCAGAATTCTTTTCTCTGCTTGTCCTGCCTATACTTCCTGCCTGGCTACTGGCCAGTCAGCATTTTATTTATTAACCAATCAGAGCAACACATTCACAGTATACAGAGTGATATCCACCGCACTTCCCCTTTTTAGTGCCTGTCCTGGATCTCGCTCTGTAGACCAGGCTGGCCTAGAACTCACAGAGATCCTCCTGGCTCTGCCTCCCAAGTGCTGGGACTAAAGACATGCTCCACTGCTGCCTGGCTTAATATATGTATTTTTAATTTATGCTTGTCTAGTATATGTATACATGGCATTACTTGTTCTGTTCTTGAATAAACTCTTATCTGTAAGTGGGGTTTCATGGATTGCAAAATTGGTCCTCACCTGTGGTGATATATTGTATACCCTAATAAACCTGCCTGGGGATCAGAGGACAGAGCCAGCCCCTAGATTAGACATAGAGGTCAGCAGGGGTGGCACACATCCTTAATCCTATCACTCGGGAGGAAGAGATCTGTCTGGATCTCTGTGAGTTCAAGGCCACACTTGAAACAGAGCCAGGCAGTGGTGGCACACACACACCTTTAATTCCAGTACTGGGAAGCACACACACCTTTAATCCCATGAAATGATGTTGGGGCAGAGAAAGGTATATAAGGCGTGAGGAAATAGGAACTCACTCTCTTTAGGCTGAGGATTTCCTAGAGGTAAGAACTAGTGGCTGGTTGTTCTGCTTCTCTGATCTTTCAGCTTTCACCCTGATATCTGGCTCTGTTTTTTTTATTATTATTATTATTATTATTATTATTATTAAAAGACCATCTAAGATTCGAACAACACTGACACTTTTGTTCAGTCCATCACACTGACAGACAAAATTTTTTTCCCACCACTGGAATCTGGGCTAGCCCTGTGGCTGGTTTTGACTAATGTGTTAGGTAATTTTGATTGTCAACTTGATTAGATGAAGAAACATCTAGATGGTTAGTGAAGCATGCTGTCTGTGAGTCATCTCTAGAGATGACTAGAACATGGGAGCTCTGGCCGAACGTATGAATGGCTTGATCCCTTGATGGATCTATAATATGACGTCATTATTAGGAGGTGGGGTCTAATACAGGAAGCAGGTCACAGGGGCCGTGTCCCGAAGGGCAATATTTACCTTGGCTCCTTCCCATATTCTCTTCCTCTGCTTGCTGCCTCCGCCCCATGCTTTCACCACTGTGCACAGAACTGAAGTGAGCAGAGCCAAGTGACCAAAATGAATCTTTCTTCCTTTGTTTACATCAGGTATTCTGTCATAGAACCGAGAGAGATGCTAACACAACTAGTGGTGTGCAGTTGGTGAAATTGGGACTCAAGAGGCCTGGTGGCTTCAATCTCATTGTATTAAAATGGCAAACCAAACATGGGATCAAGCCTGGATTAGCGACCTGAAGAATGAGAGACTACGAAGAAAAGGAGCACAGGTACTCTGTGTGTTCAGTAGATGAATACAAATACAGGAACGAGTCCAACTGATGGCAGCCATGCTGTCATGAGTCCATGAGTTAAGACCATGTTGTAAGAACTGCCCCCTGGAGCCCCCGCCCATGCTGTAAGAACTGCCCCCTGGAGCCCCGCCCACGCTGTAAGAACTGCCCCCTGGAGCCCCGCCCACGCTGTAAGAACTGCCCCCTGGAGCCCCGC